GACTCGATGGTGGCAGGTGCGTCCTGAACGTGTAAACGGCGGGATAACATCACCTGTTGCCACGGCGGAGGGGACCTCGGTCGGCCTCCGGGGGGGGTGGGGGGGGTGCGGGAGGGGAGAAAGACTCCCCTACCCCGGTCTTCCCTGAGCTCCGTCGGGACTGGATGACGGTCCTCAGATCGCGTCTCTCAGACGGCTGAGGGTGAGAGCGCCGTCTCGCTGCCCCAGCTCCTCGGGGGGCCCCCGAGAAGCGACACTCTGCTTCCCTCCTCTCCGTAGGAGCTCGTAGAGGGAAGGGACCTACGCCTGGCAGCCTCAGCTGCCTTGGGTCCAGACCGGCGAGGGAGGTACTGGCGGAACGCTTCGCACTGCGTCTAACGCTTCGTGGTTCTGCGAAGCTCCGCCAGATCTTCCTCGGAGGGACCCCCCCTCTGAACCATCTCCTGTAGCAGGTTGGCTTGGTAGGCTTGAAGCACCGTGGTGTGCAAGCTCGCACCTGCCTGGCCCGCTGGCATGTACGCCTTCCCCACAAGCGTGGATGTGGTGCGACATGGTTTGGATGGTAACGCCGGCTTCTCCAGGGAGGACGCAAGTCGAGGGGAGAGATAGCTCGCAAGCTCATCCTCCACCCGAGGCATCCTCCCATAACCACGGTCCCTAACCCCCATCACATTACTGTAGTTCAGTGATCGGGGTGTGGAAAGCCATGTAGAGAAGGGTCTGCCCCATGATTTACTCAGTTCATCATGTAAATCAGGAAGAGATCGGCGTGGAGGTGGTGCGTGGTGCTTAAGAAACCTTTCATCAAGCTTACCACTAGCCTGTGGTGTCTGCTCCTCCTGTCTCTTGGTGTTGAGCTTAGCCACGGCTCTAGTCACCACCTCCAGCAGCACGTCATAGTCGGGCGCGGCCAGATGTCGCCGCCCCGACACCCGGAAGTCATCGTCCACTGCGCTGAGCAGGTCCGCCTCCTCGGAGTCGGATTGCTGCCGCGTCTCCGGATCCAAACCGCGAGCGGGAGAAGCCGAGAACGGGCACCCCGAACGAGGAAAGGAAGCGTCGGAGCCAGCGGATGAAGGTCGGGAAAAAGCCTCAGCCGTCCCGAAATCCTCCGACAGATCACGCTGTGAACCCATGAGTGAAGCCGCCGGGCCGCCTCAGCGGCCGCATGGCCCGCGCCACGGGGAAAACACATCCGGCCATCCTCGGAAAAGAGAGCCATGCGGGACCTCAGTACCCGCACGGAAAGGGCTTCGCAACGGGCGCAGGCAGCCCCCTCGAGAGCTGCCCGTGCGTGCTCCATTCCCAAACATGAGACACACATCTCATGAGAATCTCCATCCGTGATGTACCGAGGGCAAGAAAAAAACACACCTTCTGTACATCTGGTTGCCGGACATGCTGGTAGACTTCTTCTTCAGGTAAGACATACTGCTTGTAGGACTGGAGCTTTCTTCAAACAACATACAGAGCGCCTGCTGAATAAAAAAAAGCTAATGATGAGTGTGTACAGGTGTGCTTTATACTCCTCCGGTTATTCCGTCACACCTTACCGTTCTAGCAACAGGCCAATAGGATTGGAGTGATTTCATTCACGTTCAGACCTGCTTCGCCTAGAGGCGTTCCCATAGTGTCGTAACCGACGCAGTTCGAGTTCCCTCGAAGGGGAACTGCTGATCTACTGGGATTTCCATGTGCAATGATCTCTTGAGTTTGCACAGTACAGTCCAAAAGAGAGAAAATATCCAGTGAGTGGCAGTTGTTTGGACGAAAATGCCTTGCTGATGTCAGAGGACAGAGGAGAATGGGCAGACTGGTTCGAGATGACAGAAAGGCAACAGTAACTCAAATAACCACTAGTTACAACCAAGGTATGCAGAATACCATCTCTGAACGCTGAACACATTGAACCCTGAAGCAGATGGGCTACAGCAGCAGAAGACCACACCGGGTGCCACTCCTGTCAGCATAGAACTGGAAACTGAGGCTACGATTTACATAGACTCACCAGAATTGGACAATAGAAGATTAGAAAAATGTGGCCTGGTCAGATGAGTCTCGATTTCAGCTGCGACATTCAGATGGTCGGGTCAGATGGTAGGGTCAGATGGTAGGGTGTTGCCAAAATGAAAGCATGGATCCATCCTGCCTTGTATCAACGGTTCAGGCTGGTGGTGGTGTAATGGTGTGGGGGATATTTTCTTGACACACTTTGGGCCCCTTAGTACAAATTGAGCATCGTTTAAATGCAACAGCCTACCTGAGTATTGTTGCTGACCATGTCCATCCTTTTATGACCACAGTGTACCCATCTTCTGATGGCTACTTCCAGCAGGATAATGCACCATGTCACAAAGCTCAAATCATCTCAAAGTGGTTTCTTGAACATGACAATCTCTGGTACTGCCCTAGAATGGTTTTCATCCTACCTGTCAAATAGGAAGTTTTGTGTGTCTGTAAACAACTATGTCTCCTCATTCTGTCCAGTTAAATATGGTGTGCCTCAGGGGTCGGTCTTAGGACCCATTTTGTTTTCCTTGTATCTGCTTCCCCTTGGACATATTATCCATAAACATGGCATTTCTTTTCATATTTATGCTGATGACACACAAATATACTTGCCCGTCAGATCCACAGACCCTGGAATGCTGAGTTCACTTAACAACTGCCTTTGTGAAGTTAAAAAATGGATGTCAAATAATTTCCTCCAGCTGAACTCAGACAAAACAGAAATCCTGGTCATCGGGTCCCAGCAGATGGCTAATCAAATACTGCCATCTGCTGGTTCTCTAGTAAATCACATTAAGCCTGTGGCAAAGAACCTTGGTGTTTGGTTTGATAGTAATTTAAATTTCAAGAAGCACACCGCAAAGCTTGTTCAATCATGTTTTTATCAACTTAGAAATATAGCAAAGATTCGATCTATGTTAACTTTTAAGGACACCGAGACCATTTTACACGCCTTCATCTCATCACGCCTGGATTATTGCAACAGCCTTTTCACCTGTTTAACCAAAAAATCTATTGATCGACTCCAGACTGTCCAGAACTCAGCTACCAGGCTTTTAACCAGAACAAAGAAATATGACCACATTACTCCTATTTTAGCTTCATTACACAGGCTCCCAGTATGTTTTAGAATTGACTTTAAAATTCTATTGATTACTTTTAAAGCTCTTCATGGCCTCTCGCCTTGTTATATTTCTGACCTTTTAGTCCCATACGCACCAGCACGTACCTTGAGACCCTCGGGCAGAGGTCTGTTGTCTGTTCCAGAGTCTCGACTGAAAACTAAAGGGGACAGAGCGTTTGCTGTCAGGGCCCCGAGGCTCTGGAACAGCCTGCCCCAGGAAATCAGGTCGACTGAGTCAGTGAACTCTCCCTTCTTAAAACATACTTTTATAGGAGAGCCTTTCCCGATCTTATTTGACTTTATTTTATCCCTTTTATTTTATTGTATTTTACTCATTTTATATTAATTTTTCATGCTCTTATCTAGTTTTTTTGTATTATCCTTTACACTTGTTAAAGCACTTTGTAACTTGTTTTTGAAAAGTGCTTTACAAATAAGGATTATTATTATTATTATTATTATTAATGAGTTCACTGTACTAAAATGGCCTCAACAGTCACCAGATCTCAACCCAATAGAGCATCTTTGGGATGTGGTGGGATCTCATCTAAGGCGTCACATTGACACACTTTGGAAAAACTGTGCTATTGTATGCAAAACGGTGATTTTTGCGTATGTATTACACGCTGCAGTTTGCAATAGCGTTGCAACACAAAGGAGGCTAACCTTAATTGCTATGTGCACATAGCAAGTAGGGTGCACAGCTGTAGGGTTAGCCGGTCGACATGCATATATTTACTGACTTAGGTTTAGGCACTAACTTCTAGCTGTGACGGTTAAGGTTAGGGTAAGTTACCTCGGGGGGCTGTCAACTCCTTACACACAAACATCGCTAGCTAGTTAGCGACCGGAAGCACTACTAGCGTGACAACTACGGGGGAGCTCGGCTCCTCTTAACAAGACAGTAGCTTCCCTGATGGATCATGCGTAAATATAGTCTGCTCTCAGTTCATCCTGGCCGACCTTGTCGGAGGTCGGGAGATTCAAATAATCAATGATGTTATGCTGCTGTACCTCATGCATAAATGCGCACAGCGTCTTTCTTAATGGGGAGACGATTCATCCTTTTTCAATCCCGCCGCTATTAATCAGAAGGTTAATTTTTATGACCCACCCAATCGGCGGATATAGCTCTGCACATCACTAGAACCCACATATGCAGCACATCTTACTCAGCCCTAATATAAACGGAAAGGTAGAGGTGGGATACATCTGAGAAAATAATTAGTTAGGTTGGGGGCAGGTGGATGATTTGTGCATACATGATTATTCAGATATTGTCTGAGCCAATCCGCGCATCACACCGATGTAGCTCCTATAATCGTGACAAAACAGTGCAAACAGCTGCTGAAGTCAAATTATCAGGCTATATTGCCAAGAGCATCCTCTCCTTTCAGCACTAACCTGCTGTATTTTGTGTTGTCACATAGTAACAAAAGTGCCTATTATATAGTCTGCACATGTAATTTGCACACTGTGTTCCTCCCTGTCAATAGGGGGTGTTGCAGAACCTTCTGCACCCTTGGATGTGAAGCTTTTTGTTATCTCATTAGCACTAAACAGGTTTGCATGCAGTCAAATAAAAGTATTAACTGGCTGATTCAGATTGTCAGGTGCTCAAATAAACGCAAAATCTAATTCTATAAACCAACACTGAATTGTGTTGTATTGTCCTGCAGAGAATGCACTCAACACATCTGCAATCCTGCAATCTAGCATTACATGAACTTTGTACGTAGATACTGTTTGCATGTCCCTTATCCATTCATGGATTTATTAATGAGGTTAGTCTGAACAGCAGCAGGAAAATTGAAGACAGTGAATGCTGTTTTATAAACAGTTGGCACATCATGACTTTTTATGTGATTCAGATAAATACTACTTCAAACCTGCATGTGTCACATTTCCCTGTTGGGCCCAGATTCTCTAAGAAGTTACCTGAGACAGTGAGATGGAGTGGCTGGCTCTCAGAAGAGAAGTTGTGGGAGAAAACATAGATGTGATAAACACAGCTGTAGTTCCCTTGGTGGGTGTGGTCTGCAGCAGAGAACAGGAAATGGGCAGAGTGATTGACAGCTGGCAAGGTGTAGTTCTGTGTTATGTCGGAGGAGGTGAAGATAAGCTGGAAGGAGCCTCCTGGATACTGTGGCAGGATGGAGCAGCTGATGGTGAAGTTGGAGCCCATGAGGACCTGAAGCCCCTGCTGCTTGGCCTCAGAATCCCCGTCAGTGTAGGTAGAGAAGGAGATGTTTGGCCGAGCCAGAATATCTGCGAACACAGTGGGAGATCAAAAAATGTCTGCATCTGAAGAATGCAGACATTTCTATCCTCATCTTTATTTGTTTTGTCAAAGTGAACACTGACCACAGTAAGATGAAAAATGGAGATATAACCGTCACTGTTCAGAGTTTATAGAGCTGGTTTCAGACCAACTTTTGCCCTGTGTGGAAAAATACAACCCAGCTCTCTGCATTGTTTGATATAGGGCTGTTTTCTGTTTGAATTTCTCCTTAGCGTTGGTTAATGGCCCTAGTCTTTGGCTCTTTGCCTTTGGTGTGAGAGACCCGGGTTCAATCCCCCATTGTGTCCCTGAGCAAGACACTTAACCCCTTGTTGCTCCAGAGGTGTGCGACCTCTGACATGTATAGCAATTGTAAGTCAGCTAAATGAAGAAATGTTAATGTAGTCTTAAAAGCAAATCCTTTTACTAGTAGTACCTCTACCACGACAGCATATGAAATAAAATAAATTATCCAAAATACACTTTCTCTTTCTATAAAGTGACAGCTATTTCTTTACAGCTCAGTTTAATGAACAGACAGGAAATAGTTTATAAGGATTCCTGTTAAAGTTGTTGTCACTGAAAGTGTTACCTGAGCAGGTGACTTCCAAACCGAGAATCGGGCTATAATAACGTGTCAAAGGTGATAACACTGCACACTCTCTGACTGCAGACTCAGACGGACTACAGGGAGATGCAATTATCCATGCTTTTTGGTTGTGCAAATCATCTCTTCTTTCTGTTGAAAGAGCAGAGCCACAGTCCAGCTGCCTGCATACTACAGCTGCTGACATCAGGTCCCAGTTAGAGAAGTCAACTGCCACCGCTCTCCACTCTCTGTTGTGTTTCATCTGTAGTCTACCGACACAGCGGCTGGCCCCTCCAACCAACCGGACGTCATCAGGCTCTGAACAGATACAAGAGAGTAATTAGTTAAAGAAGTAAAGTAACTTGCATTACAACAGAGATTACATCAAATCAAATCAGCAGATCTTCTCCTACCTGAACATGTGAGTTCAACAGATTTGCCAGATGAGCAGGTGTCTCTAGCTGAGCCTGAGCTTCCACAGTCCAGGAGAGCAGACTCATGGCCTTCACACTGGAACTCTTTGGTCCTCATGGGCCCCTCTACTCCTGCATAGAGCGCCCCTTGGAGGACTGAAGGAGCCCCACAGCCAAGCTCCCTACAGACCACCTCTGCATCCTGCAGGTTAAAGTCATCTTCACACACTGAGGACCACAAATGGTTAGACTTCACCTCCAGTCTGCCGGAACACAGACGAGTCCCATTAACCAGCCTGACAGACTCTGAAGGAAGACAACGACAGATAGAATATGAATTTTAAATGAAAAATATGTTTGCTGCATCATCTCTCGTCTATCTACAAAACTCTTTGGATGTGTAGGATCAAGGAAAATATAATCTTATAACTTTTATAAGTTGTGTTACTGCATTGAGGGAGGCTGTAGGGGCATTTCTTGACAACCTCCCATGTTTGGATTTTTTGGAAGAGCCGACCACGGGAGTAGTCAGAATCATCACTGTAAACTAAAAGATTTTAAACTTTTATCCATTCTTTCAGCTACAGGCCAGTCCTGCTGGGATTTTTCTTCTTCTTTGCATATTTACTGAAACTGTCTCTACACTGGGGCGCAAAAAGCACCTGGAGAAGAAAAGGTGCAAATTAACTGCAAGAGAATTAAACATGAAGGTACAGTGACTCTTGATGGACCAGATGGATGGGCCCGTGGCTGGATCACTGATGGACACTTAAGGAAATCTTAATTCAAATATGTCTCTTAGTGGATGAATAAGTCATCTAAGTCAATGCTGCCTTTTGATTTCCTAAGCACGTATGCCTTTCTGCATGTACCAGCAACAATGCTGCTTGGGTGGTACCTCAGTTCTTTGTGACTTTGGACAAAACTCTCTACCAAATAAAGAAAAGAAATCTGTAAAGATTAAAGTTACAGTTGATGTATTTTACCTGAACACTTGAGCTCCAGGTTTAAATTTGAAGTTCCAGACTTTGTAAATACACATTCCCTAACTGCAGACTTGGACTGAAGACAAGTTGATCTGATCCGCCATATATATCCATAAAAGTCACTCCTCCTCAAACCTGTAGAAACAGCAGAGCCGCAGTCCAGTTGTTCACACACAACATCTGCTGTCTTTAGATTCCAGCCAGACGTTTGGTCGTCCACCTTTTCCCACTCTTCCTGTTGTTTCACCTCCAGTTCACCAGCACAGCGAGTGGATCCTCCCACCAACCGGACATTATCGGGCTCTGGGCAGACGAGAGTAATTTTAAAAAATAATTGAAGCCCCATTTATTGAAATAGAAAACCAAAACAAAGCACAGGTCCTCTCCTACCAGAGCAGGTGAGTTCAACAGCTTTGCCAGATGAGCAGGTGTCTCTAGCTGAGCCTGAGCTGTCAATCTGACAATCCAGGAGAGCAGACTCATGGCCTCCACACTGGAACTCTTTGGTCCACACTGGAACTCGCATTTGTCTATAAACAGTCCCTTGGAGGACTGAAGGAGCCCCACAGCCAAGCTCCCTACAGACCACCTCTGCATCCTGCTGGTTAAAGTCATCTTCACACACTGAGGACCACAAATGGTTAGACTTCACCTCCAGTCTGCCTGAACACAGACTAGTCCCATTAACCAGTCTGACAGACTCTGAAGAGGAAGAGAGCGAGAGACACAGAAAGACAGACAGAAAATTGAGTTTATAAGGCATTGCAATATAACACAATATAATGAAGTGCCAATCGTTATGCCAGTCAGCCTTCGTTTGTCTGTACATGTTTTTGAGCAATGTTTCTCTGTCAATGCAGTTTTCCTGCATTTGACATGTACTTTCCTGATATTTGAGATTTGTCCCTTACCCTTTGACACCTGTTCTGTCAACTTTAAATATGTCATATTAAATCTCAAAGGGAGTGCTTGTTGGGATGTAGATCGGTGTCTAAAACCAGCTCGCCTCACGGCTTTCCAACGTCATAAATTGCGGGGATACGTCAATTTTTGTAACTTGTTTAAATGTATCTAGTATTATAGTAAAACTATAATTAACAATTACAAAGGGATTGGCCAGGTGTACAGAGGTGAGAAAGCATGCAAGATCTGAACATATCTCTCAAGCTCTCTTTGTTGATTCCTTATGCTACTTCACCCATTATCCTTATCCCCCTTTGTAAGATTCATCGTGTCTCACCCAGCTTTAACCCCACCTTCAAGGGTTATTTGGAACAGATATGAGTTCCTTTAGTGGCCAAACAGCACTGTATATTTCAAACATACCAGCTTTAATATTGCTTTATTGTTTTCCTTGAGAGACTTTACAACTTAGGGCATCATGCAAACGTACAAAGACGCCATTTTGATCATCTGAACTGCTAAAAAACACACAAATTATTGGGGGCAAAATGACTGGCTGATGTTTTCAAAAGAGGACACCGCACAAAATATCTAACGCATAGATTACCAAGATGTAAAAAATATGCCATGGTGCTCAGAAATTAAGCGAAAAACAAAAATCAGTGGATTTGTGTAACACCAAATCCAGTCAGCTGTTAAATTAAATCCTATTGGTCTCTGAGATTCCTAGGGGATTTGTGTCTTTTTTTATTGGCTACTGATTGTGTTACCTGAGCAGATGATCTCCAAACTGGCAGAAAAAGTCTTTGACCTTTTTGTTAAACATTTCCTCAGTCTAGATTTAGAGTTAAGACAGGAAGGTGGGATGCTCCATGGAGATGAAGATGTAGGTGATGCTGACGAAGCCTGAACCGCAGAACCACAGTCCAGCTGTCTACAAACTTCATCTGCTAACTTCAGGTCCCAGCCACGGTCATCCACTTCTCTCCAAACTCCCTGGCTCTTCACCTGCAGCAAACCAGAACAGCGGCTGGATCCTCCCAGCAAGCGGATATCATCAATCTCTGAATGCAGGTAAGAGTGTAATTAGTAAAATAATGTCTTGTGTAAATCGTAATTTATTTATATTTTCTCTGTTTACCTTTGAAAGTATCATCTTCCTCTATCTGGAGACCTGGGGAATCATAAAAAGTTTTAAAAAATAATTAAAAGTGTCATTATGAACTTTCTTGCTCAGGACAGGTTAGGCAGGCCCTTCCCAGTTTTCTGGGAATTAAATTTCCTGCATTCTGGTCAATTTCTGCCTTTCCTGCATCAATTTATAAAAATACAAACAAAAATTCAGGTGACAATTAAAAATATGTGTTGCTTTTAGATATGTTTCCCCTGTAGGTCAACTTTTCTCATGTAATATCATCCCTGCTGAGTCAGCATACATGCAGGCATCTTTTAGTCCTCCCTTCTCTTTTGTGTCTTTTGTTTGGCAGAGTAACCTCTTTAAATGTGCATGTTGCACTTTTTAACCTCAATGATAAAATAATTAATTTGAAGTCGTAAATTCCTGGACTTTAATAGCTCCTGTGCTTCAGCTGGTTTCCTGCTGATGTTCAAGGTTTTCTGCATATTCAAAATCTATACCAAATATCTGTGTTCTCTGCAGAAAAAAAGTCACAATATTATGAGATTAATGTCATAATTTAATGTGAATTCATATATTTTTAAAAGTCTACCTGTCCTATACTCTGCTGTACATTTCGTTATTGCTCTGCTGACATGGTTCTATCCTCTTTAGATCTTCTGACAGATACACTATCGTTTGGGACTGTGAGTGAGAATGAGACAAGGTGGAAACTGAAACTTCTCATCAGGCGGAAATCTCACCGTTAACTTAGTGACAGAAATAGAGCAAGGCTGTGCTTCACTTTTTAGATATTTATTTAGCAAAACTCTACCAGTTATCTTACCACTTCTATTCTTAATTGCTATTACGGTGTACGCAGGTATCGCAGCTAGGTGGAAATGAGTTCAGTGTTTCCCCTAGGATTGTTTTCAGGGGGACTACAGTGTCTTTTTATTTTATTTTTCCAACAGAGTATCTGACTCCACCCACACAGCCATGAAGTTTACAACAATTCATCAGAATGCAGGAATTTAAGTGTTTAAACAAAGTGTTTTAAACAAAATTGTTCATAAGTCTATGACAGAAAGCAAATAACTCATATCCAAGGCAGTCGTCAAGTAAAAAATCTGGATTGAAAAAACTGACAATGAAAAAATTTAAAATATAATATAACTTGAATCAAACAATTATTAACCAAAACTTTCTATAAAGAAACTATTTGGAATAAAAATATATTATAGTGGTTAATAATAAGACATTAGAGTTACACTTTGATTCCCCCTCAACAATTTATTTGGATATTCTTATATAATTTAAAATTTATTTATTTTTAATTTTGAAATGTCCTTGCAAATATTTCTGAAAAGAAGAGAAGAGTCAAAAGAAATAAAAGCTTTTCCATTTCTTTTTTCATTATATATTTTAGCACTTTCAATTTTTTAACAGGTTTTATTATTAAGTATTTTAAACTTATTTCTACACATATGATGTAAGAAATATATTCTAATACAAATAATCACTAGTAATGTTTTGGGCTATGTCATGTCATCAGCAAGCATGCAGATGTTTGGACGTGGACACCGTGTATTTCCAGCTGCAGCCACCAGGGGCAACACTGAGCTATTACTTGTGTGTGTCTGTGTTCCTGGGGACCAACATAGGGTCTTACGGTGACATTGTGGGGACACACCTCTACAGAGTTACGTCTTATGTTTTAAGGTTTTGCATGCAAACTTTATGATTAAATTCATAGTAAACCCAGTCCAGAATTCAAAATAAAATACCTTGTGCAGACTCCTGATCGTATATCAACAATAAACACAGTTAAAACAGACAAAAAAAAAAAACTATTTTACTATGGATTGTCCTTTTTTTTTTCTTTTTATCAGTTGTTCTGCTTTTTCCTTGGTTTTCTGTTCCCTGCCTGCCTCCCTGTGTTTCCTCCCCTGCCTGTGCTCTCCCTCTCTCTCTCTCCCTCTGTTCCTGAGCCCAGCCAACTACCTGCACCTGCACCTCATCAGCCACCTCGTCAGCCTGCCACACCTGCCAGTAATCAACCTCATCCCTGCCTGTATTTCAACCCCGGTTCTCCACACCACTCTTGCTTGATCGTTGTTGCTCCATACCCAGTGCCACCTCTGTGTTCAGGCTTTCATGTTTCTTGTTTTTTTCACATTTTCCCTGTGCCTCGTCCCCATTATCTCTAACACTGTCGCTCTCTCTGTCTGTTTCTCTCCCAGGTTCACTCACCCTCGTCCTCTGTTCAGTCGGCTGGGCTCATCCACCGGTCTTCTCCTCCTCGGACTTCCCCCACGGCCTCCTCCCTGTTCTCCCTCGGCCCCAGTGTTCCCCGGCTCCCTGGTCCCAGTCTCCTCGGTTCCCCGTGCCTGTGTTTCCCCGGCATCCACCTCTCCCTCCACTCCAGTCCCTCTACCCCTTTTTCCGTCAATAAAAACCTCCTTCCCTCCGAACGTTGCATTTGGTTCCTCTCTGTCACCACACGTAACACGTAGCCTTCTTAACCACGGTAGAAGCACAAAAATCAAGGACCACTTACCAAATCAACAAAATCTAAACAATTCAGCAAAATCAGGCAGGCAAAACACTTTTATTCTGAAATACTCCATGTGGGAAATTCAGCCCTGCAGGACCCTGTTTATAACTGCTTTTAGTTCTAGTTGAAATTAGAAATTAGTGTATAAAAAAGCTGTGATTCCATATGTGTTTAGAGTTTCAGAGATACCCAGGAGGATTTTCACCATATTTCTGTTTTGTTTTTATTTTTAACCCAATACCAAACTATAATTTGTGCATGTCAAGTTCTAGAAACAAAAATATGGTTACATAGTGACATTGTGGGAACTTAACTCCTGAAAATTACATCTTAAGATTCAAGGTTTTGCATGCACACCATATATCAGTCAAAGCAATGTCTTCACAAGTAAGAAAAAACTGTTTCCTATTTTTGAGAGGACCAATTTGAGTTTTATACCTTGATAGTAAGGACATCTTGGCCAGTCATCACTTCTTTTAAGGGCCATTTGAGGGTTAAGCTTTGGTTTTAGGTAGTAGAAGTTTTGACCTCTTCTAACTTTAATTAGAGACCTTAAACAACACATTACAAAGAACATTTAAATAAGATGTGCATAAAAGGAAATAAGTGAGAAAATATTTAAAACACAACCAATCATATACATCTATGATTGATTTGTCTCATATGCAGCATGTTTGATCACAGAACTTTAGAGATGTCTGAGATCCAAGCTCACTTTTCCAGCCCAGTCTTAACTGCATGCACATTGTAGACTGGGGGTTAACAGACTGTAAAACATGAGGAAGTATGCTATCATCTTAAAATGACCTATTTGTGAGTAACACTTATCAATCCTCCAATATCACACAGTTTCTAAATTTTCAATTAGAATCTAAAGAAGTTGCTCTCAGTCAGTCCATATTTCTCTGTATTCTCACAACAGACATGTCAAACAGAGCTTTAACTGTTGATGGCCGTGTTTAACATCATTAGTGTCCTTTTCCTGCTACAAGTCTGCAGTCAGTGCACTTTAATAACTAGTCTAGATTTCATCTTCATCATTTTATCCTATATTTTTAGACTTGCTTGACTGTAATTTAAAATGATGGTTTAACTGAAGTTTATGTATCTGCCAGTGGGTCAGTCAATCCAAGCTCATGCTTGTGTGAGCAGCAGTCAGTGAGGTTAAAGAGATTTAAGTCCTACCTGAGCTCCAGAGCAACATGAACGCCACCAGTATGTGATCCATGTCCAGTTGGTGTGTTGTCCATACAAGCTTATCAGTGTATCAATCTTCCTCATTTACTGCCTCTTGATCTTATACTCTGTAACAGCTCTCCTCTGAGGTTTCCTCTTCATCTATTAATTTCCTTATCGTGTGGTTTCCCTCTTAATGTCACAGCAACTACTTGGCAGGATTTGTCAACAGGAAGCTAATTAATTATGTAATAATTATATACTGGCATGTGCCCCATCAAGATGTTTTAAACATCTAAAATCATAACAATTTCATTAGTTAAATTTCAGGTACTGCAGCACCATTTACTTTACAACAGGACTGTGTTCTGCTGTTCGGGGAGCCTGAAGGGGAGAATATTTTTTCCATTTAAAAGTGTTGCAGCCCTTTTTATTATTTGCCTGTGTTGAATGTTTTATATACCCTAGATTTAGTTTCTTTGTACTGGTTACCATTTTTATGCATTCATTTTAAATCCTAGGCTGCTCATTACTTACAAGCTTTTATAGATTAACAAGTGTTGCACCACAGTACATTGGTAAATTTAGTGTCCAGTGCTTGTGCTTTTGGCTCATAACAGTTCAAAATAGCACTGTAGCAGCAGGACAGAGGGTCAGTGACCTTCTACAGGGAGAGCAGTGATTGGTGGTTATGTAGGGACTGAACCCTTCTATAGAATTTGACCTCTAACCCCTTGTTTTGTTACCTCAGAATAGTTCTGTACCCTTCTATGGGTTTGACCTTTTATTTAGCTGACTCACACCCTTCAATGGTACCTAACGGATACCAAAACATATCCTATATAAGCTGTGTTTGATGTACAGAGAGACAGAGTGGCCATCGGGTTGGGTCACTCTCCAAGCTGCTGCAGAGCTTGTAATTGATGCTGAACTCCTTGATTAAACTTTTATGATCAAGAACAGTGTCAAGCGGATTTCTTAACACATCATCACAGCATAATTGTTTGGACACCACATAAACTTTGAATCTACTAGACTTTCTAAAAAGCAGTTAAGAGGAAGAGATTTTTAGGACCTTTGCAACATTTATCAATTTTATATATTGGTTTGTCATTTTATCAAAGGTCTCACCAGTGAAACTCAACCCAACCTCTTTATCTTTGCAATATCAAACACTCATTTCCTGTAGACTTACTTAGAAGCAGTGTTTTTCACCTACCACAATCATCACACAATCTTGTACAAACCTGTCTCATTAATTCGCTGTTACTTTGAGGGGTATGTAATGGGAAATGTATTTTAAACTGCTTGATTTCTTTTACTTCTCTGTTAACATTAAAGTGATAAACATTTTGGGTTTTAGTTCTTTTACACCTTGCTTTAAGTTCAGAGAGTGTACTCAGAATAGGGAGGCCTACAAAACTGTAACCTGTGGTTAAGAACTGCAGGTTGCTGTTTCTAGCAACAAACTAGTGAACCATTTGTGACTTTAATGTCACAGCCCTCTCCTATAGTCTCGCTTGGTGTTTAAAAATGAAGGAGGACTTTGCCTTATGGCTGCAGAGACCTTTAAGCCTATTTGCAAAGGTGAAATAATGTAAATGTACTGAAAGACAGTTTGTTTTTTCATCTTTAATACAGATTTTCATGTAACACAAAAAGAGATAGCAGTGACCAAGGGCAACAGAGCAGAAAGAAATTGGTGAGGGGGAAAAAAAGCTTTATTGCTGTTTTTAAAACACTGTTTTCAATTTTCTTATATCTGAATGTGAAACAACCACCGTGGAGATACTACTCTTTCCTCTGGGCTCCAGCATCTTCATCTAGTCAGTCTTCAGTACTGGACCTCATAAGAACATACTCATTAATCTCAGTGTTCTCCTCTCGTCCCAGCCTCTGGCTTTTTCTGGCCTGAAAAGACAGAATAAATGTTTGTATAGTAACTTAAGAGTCAAAGCAGAGTGCAGCGATAACTAACACGATGACATAATTTTAATTAAAGTAAAGTTGCTTTAAATCACTTGAAACAATTGATTAAAAGTACCATTAATTAAAAGTAATGATGTGTGTGTGTGTGTGTGTGTGTGTGTGTGTGTGTGTGTGTATACTGAAGTATTGTTGATTCTGATTTGATATTTATTTTGCCAGTTTTCTTTACCCATTTGAAATATATTGCAATATTACCTTTTTCTAGTGGACTGATTTTATTATAGTACCAAAAAGTAAACAATAAAAGATCGATGTTGACAAATTTTGCCACGGAAAATATCGCAATACTATGCTGAATCGTGTGGGGTTTTTTTGTTTTTTTGTTTTTTTTTTTTTCCCCACCGACCACAGATGTAGGTGTGTTTTGCCTTACTGTTTTGGAGCTTCTCTCAGTGGCCATCTGCTGGCCTACAGAGACATGGTAGGAAATGGCTTTAAGTCTTTAAAGAGGTGGTGTTATGCTTTTTCCCTCTCCTCTATTGACTTATATACTTTCCTTTTGCATGTAATAGGTTTGTGAAGTGAAAAAGCCCAAAGTTCAGGCCAAAGGGAGTTCCCATCTCCCACAGAAAATACTGCCTGAAAACAGCTCGTTTGACTGACTTCAGGCAGTCAGTGGACAGAAAGTTGTTCCTGTGATGTAGAGACAGAGCTCAGTTAAAACTTTATGGATACAGATTAATAACTCACCGCTCTGAAACTCTTGCTCCAGTCCATGTTGCTAAGCTGATAAGGGGAAATACAGCTGAACCGAAGTCGTGTTTATCAGCTTTTCAGGACCCGCCCTACTCTGCTTCTGATTGGCTAGTAGTCCTGAACTAGGAACTGCACATGTGCAACTCCCAACAAAGATCATGTAGAAACAAGATGCAGCAATGTGCAGTATGACAAAAAAATATGGTGTTTTTTGAAAATGAAACTTGTACTGGTACAACCCCTAAATAAGATTATGAACCTGAAAATGAATACCGCCTCTTTAAATCACGCTGCAAAGAGTTTTAAACCTGCATTCTTTCTAATGGCCAGTAGGGAGCGACCACTAGTTGTAAAAGGAAGACTGATTGGACTCAATCACAAAAGGCTCCTTTTTTTTACTTAAACATTTTCCTAGTGAGTTTATGGTCTCATTTGCTAATTTCAAGTCTTCTTCAATACAGCATGATGTTGATTTAGTAAATTATGGTCCCATGGTTAATTTCTTACGGTAAGTACATTTTGTTTTAGCCAAAATTAGCATCCCAATTAATATCACAGTTAATGTGAATTATGGATGCACCATGCTAACTAAGCTAGCTAGCGCCACCCTCTCGTCCGAATATGGTCATTAATGGTTCCAAAAACCCAAGATGGCGAAAAGCCAAAATGCCAAAATTGAGGACTCAAAACGGTAGTCCACAACTAATCGGTGACGTCACGGGGGCTACGTCCACGTGTTTTATCCAGTCTATGTTTTAAATACGCCTATTTCTAAATACATATATGTTAGGATTCAACTCAAGCCCCCAATTCTGTAGGAGTCCCATAAATATTGTTAAAGAATGTGTTTGTTTGATGGAACATGCTTGTTTCAGGTCCGCATGTCAGCAGACTAACTAAATTAGTCTGAACAGTCCAATACAGACTAATTATAGTCTATGCTTTGGGTCTTGTTGATCGTAAATTCAAAGCATGAATGACTGTTAGCTGCCAAACATTCTCAAATAAATAAAACAAAATAGAGGGAGGTTGAATTTACCTGTATTCTAATATCTCAAATGTTACTGCGACGCTATCATCAGTGGAAAAACAGCATTTTCAGCAGATGTTTCAAATTAAAAGCCAACCAGGAAAATGAGGAATCCTGTCATCTGAGCCACTGGAAGGCGTTTCATCAGAGCAGAAAGTGTTGGATAGAGTTGGATACACGCAATTTCAGTCATGTAGCTTATGCTTTCCCCACTGTCCCAAATACAAACCAAATTCTGATCCCGAATACATTGAATTCTGGACTATGGATATTCGATCCCTACAATCCACACATTGATAGTACCTTGCAGTAGAAAAACAGACCAGCACTGAAGACCACAATCAGCACTAGGACAACCAGCCCAATGATCAGATCTGGTGAAGAGGCTGAAACAGATTTACAATCGTTATGTCAATTCATATATGAGCAGCTGAACAGCAGTTTACTTTTGAAGATAGAGATTTTCATATTTTTTTTAAAAATCTGTAAGCTTAGTATTTCTAACTTTGAAGAATATATCCAGAAATCACAAGTCCTCATTGATTCAACTGATTTGATTGGCTATTTAAATGTATTTGATTTCTGACATTAAAGTCAGAATTCAATTCAGTCAGTTATAAATCTTGTTGAGTTTTAGAGATTGAATTCCTCACAAAGCTGCACTCCTACTCCTCTGTCTTGTGCAGACATCTGCAATCAAACTTTATATGAACTTTATACATAGTTACTGTTTCCATGCCCCTTATCCATTCATTCAGTTATTGAGATTAGTCTGAACAGCATCAGAAAACATGAAGACTGTGAATGCCGTCTTATGAACAGTTGGCACCACGTGAACTTTGATGTGATTCAGATTAATAATACTTTCTAGCCTGCCCAGATTGTAAGAAGTTACCTGAGACAGTGAGATGGAGTGGCTGGCTCTCAGAAGAAAAGTTATGGTAGAAAACATAGAAGTGATAAACACAGCTGTAGTTCCCTTGGTGGGTGTGGTCTGCAGCAGAGAACAGGAAATGGGCAGAGTGATTGACAGCTGGCAGGGTGTAGTTCTGTGTTGTGTTGGAGTTGGTGAAGATAAGCTGGAAGGAGCCTTCTGGATACTGTGGCAGGATGGAGCAGCTGATGGTGAAGTTGGAGCCCATGAGCACCTGAAGCCCCTGCTGCTTGGCCTCAGAATCCCCGTCAGTGTAGGTAGAGAAGGAGATGTTTGGCCGAGCCAGAATATCTGCGAACACGGTGGGAGATGAAACATTTAGTCTGCATTTTAAGAAATATAAAATTCCTCATCTTCATTTGTTTTGTCAAAGCGAACACTGAACACAGTACGATGACAAGATTTATTAGCAGGAGCCATTGATAATGGATAAATTGAAATCTTATTCAGATGACTTAGTTTAAAAATGAACAGGCAGGTAAGAGATTATAAGGATTCCTGTGTTTTCATTGATGCCGTTACCTGAGCAGGTGACTTCCAGACTTAGAACCCTTCTATTAGAATCATACCCGAACGATAAGAATGCACATTCTCTAATTCCAGAGTAAAACGGAATACAAGATGCTATTATCCAAGCATCTTGGTTGTGCAAATCCTCTCTTCTTCCTGTTGAAAGAGGATAGCCACAGTCCAGCTGCCTGCATACTAAAGACGCTGACATCAGGTCCCAGTTAGAGGAGGAATCAGCTACTGGTCTCCACTCTCCAAAATGTTTCATCTCAAGTCTACCGACACAGCGGCTGGCTCCTCCAACCAACCGGACGTCATCAGGCTCTGACCAGATACAAGAGAGTAATTAGTTAAAGAAGTAAAGTAACTTGCATTACAACAGAGATTACATCAAATCAAATCAGTAGATCTTCTCCTACCTGAGCAGGTGAGTTCAACAGCTTTGCCAGATGAGCAGGTGTCTCTAGCTGAGCCTGAGCTTCCACAGTCCCGGAGAGCAGACTCATGGCCTCCACACTGGAACTCTTTTGACCACACTGGGGGCTCCATTTCTCCATACAGCGCCCCCTGGAGGACTGAAGGAGCCCCACAGCCAAGCTCCCTGCAGACCACCTCTGCATCCTGCTGGTCAAAGTCGTCTTCACACACTGAGGACCACAACTGGTTAGACTCCACCTCCAGTCTGCCGGAACATGGACTAGTCCCATTAACCAGCCTGACAGATCCTGAAGAAAGATGAAGACAGAATTCGCATCATCCGTCATCTATTTGAAAAAACTTTTTGATGCGTAGGATGAAAGGAAAAGATCTTAAAACTTTTATAACCTGTGTTACTACACTGAGACTGTAGGGGAATTTCTTGATAATCTAATGTTTGGATTTCAAGAACTGACCACAGGAGTAGTCAGACTCATCACTGTAAACTAAAACAATTTAAACTTTTTACCCATTCTTTCAGCTACAGGTAAATGTAGTGCAGGTAACATTTACCAGTAGAGAAGTCCACCTCAATAAATGCGAGAGGAAACCGCCTGATATTTGGACTGGCTGATGACCGGTTGGACGCTCCAATCGATTTTAAACCGTGAGTATGATGTCATGAATCAGTTCTTGAAAAAGAAAAATACCCTAGGTTGATAGACATGTAATTACGGTGGGTGATGGCTATAAGATAGTATATAATTCCATTTTCTATATGGTGATACTTGTATTTTAGAGATCCTTTGGCGGTTTATACAAACAAAGGCCTAAAGACATAATTCCTTATAATACATAATTTCCTTTGGAGATTTATAAATTCTTTCCTGGAACAGTTTCTCATTTTCCTGTGTTTTTGAAAGAAAAATAGACATTCGGCTCTGACCTGTAGCGGTCCGGGTTAGGCTCTGACCTGTAGCGGTCCGGGTTAGGCTCTGACCTGTAGCGGTCTGTTGCATGATTATGTTTTCGTGATTATGTTTTCATCTTAGAAAAACATTCCAGATGTTTCCATTTAAAGCCCTATAGAGGTTTTAAGAATTTATTGTGGTTTGATAAGCGTTTGTTCTAAACATTATGCCCAACTACGAACGGGAAAAACTAAAATGGGCGTGTATATATAAACTTTGTGATAAACTAATTTCAGTGTCCAGTACACAGAACAAAAGAGTGCACCGCTCAGAACGCGAAAGTGTCATACAGGTCACTTGGTTGAAAAAAGTTTATCCAGAGTTAATGTGTGTTTGATAAGATCCGACCATATTACAATATGGGAAGATCAGAGTGATTGTGTGAAATGTGTGAATGATAAGCCTATTGCAAGTGAAAGCACATCCGTCCCAGTGAGTCAGAAGAAAACATGGGGAACAAAAAGGGGAAATTAAACTCTTTGCCTGACACCCTTTCAGGTCCAGCTAAATTAATGGCAGAAAAATGGGAAAGAGAGTGGTTGTTGATGCTTCACTTTGGCACAATTTAACTGAAGGTGTTTTCCCTATCATAGGCACACTGAGTACAGATTGTTTAGGGAGATGTAGAATTATGTTGACAGAGAATGTAAATAAAGTAGGAAAGAAAAAATAGACTGGCTGGCTAGCTTTTGAAAAGTGGGGAAAAGAAGCACACTTTTAATGGTAAAACAACAAATATGGGATGCAGGTCTAAATCTAAATGATGAGAAAAAAGAAACACAAAAGGCCAGATCTGAATTTACCGCCACCAAATGCTGTCTCTAAGCCACCCATTCTGATGACACCAGAAACCACCCTTCCAAATTTCCAAATCCCCAGCCGGAAGTATTTGTATACTGGCCATGGCAGCCAGATGAACTAAGAAGTTGCAGAAAAACTGCCTAATCCTCAGAAAAATGGTAGTGAGAAATGGGTTACATCAATGAAGCAATTGTTGTCCACGTATAATCCAATTTTGCAGGAAGTGGAAACTGTGTTGGAAGTGTTTCAAGCTCCGACGGGCCAACATTCGACCTGTCACCTGGTCCACAGCACCATCAGTAGGATCAACTCAGTTTGGTGCCATGATGGACACCTTGTATGACGCAGCGCGACAGGCTTTTCCCCTGAGAGTCTGTTGGCCTGAGATCCAGAACACTAAACAAAAGGAAGAGGAGTCAGCTGCAGACTACCGTGTCCACATGGAAGCTGTTTTTGCAGTTAACTCTGGCATCAACCCCGACAATGAAGCATACCCCTACCTGCTAAAGACTGCATTGGTAAAGGGTCTCCACCCTGGCCTGAAGATCCAAGTTGTGACTACAGGTGTCGGCTGGGAAAGCGCACCTATAGCAACTATCTTGCACGCCGAAAGAAACAAGGCAGATATGGACTGTAAACAATAGGAACATCTCTAAACTGCTCAGTTAATGTTCTACCAGCAGGGTGCACCAAAGAATCCTGGACAGAGGTGGCAGTCCCATCAAAACAATAGAGGACGAGGTGTCAGAGGAAGGACGACCCTAAGACCACTTCATTAGCAAGGACCACACCACCAATGGATACGTTTATATACTTTATTAATGGATAACAAGAGCAAGCATGCAATGCTGGTCACTGTGTTCGAGTCATTGTGGGGTAGCTACTGTAGGGAGGATCTGCCATAGCGCCCGGGCACGACAGACCTCATGATCCTATGGAGAAGAGGGAGTAGATGCGGAAACAAGGGTGGGGAAGGGGTGCAGAGTGCGAGAGCAAAGGAGAAAAGATGGGTTAGCTGGGTATTTATGGAAGTATGGGAGAGGCGTGATTGGTGAGTGGTCCTGCTCCTGAAACTCTGCTGGTAGCTCCACATTCCGAACATCAAGGGGACTACAAAATCACAAACCAAAACAAAATAAGGTGCAACAGATGGCTATGGGCACATATCATGTCAGTGTCCCACCTCTGGCTTTCACCAAGAAGAAGGACAAGATCAAGAGAAATCCAGGCCACACACACCACCTGAGGGCCTCACTGTGCAGTCTCCCTTCATGAGATTCTAACTGGGCATCCCGTGCGGTAACACCCCTTTTCCTCAAAACAGGCCTACACTGGCAGGGATGGATAATGAGATGGTAAGCTATTGTTGCGCACTCAACCATGCTTTGAAGCTTATTTTCCCTATGGTAAAAGCGGCCCTCCCTGATCCTTCAACGACACAACTTCAGACCATCCAGCCTGGACAGATCGAGGATCTACGAAGAAAACATTGGCACCATCCCCATAGGCTATGATCATATCAGGTGCTGCTGACGACTCCAACTGCTGTCCGGGTAGCTGAGAGGGACACGTGGGTTCATGCATCCCAGTGCAAAGTTTGTCCCCAGTGAGGATCCCCTCCAACAATACACATGGACAATGGAGGAAAGAGTCTTCTGAAAACATTGGATGCAGTGATTCATCCTTGTCCTGAAAGCTGTCCCCATCATTGGAGGCGCAAGAAGAGGATACAGAGGGGAGACATAGCATTGGCATGTTACCAACACAGGGTGAGGGGACAGAAGAAAATGGGTCCACAATAACCACAAATAAACCATGTAATCAAGGGAAAGACAATTGCCATGTTTTCTGGAGTATTCCTGTTTTGAACTACCAAGATGATCTGTTGTCATATTTGTTGTAGTTCTTCTCTCCCGAAAATTCCATTCATTTTTTTAAGTCCTGTTTCTGATTGTTTATTCTTTTTAGTACTATCGTTATGATTTTGTATGCATCCCTTATTGAACAGATTGTATAATATTTTGTAATTTTAGTTTCCATGTTTCTTTCCAACAAATGGGTAAATGACCAACTCTGGCCCCTACTATGACCATGCATGTAGGCTATTTTATCTCTTGTATTAAGTGTTTTTTTTTTTTTTAAATCATTCTACTTTTTGAAACTGTCAAGCCTTAATGTACGGATGATATAGGGTTTTACAAATGTAGTCCTCCATATATTTCTCTTGTTTTTTGTTGTTTTAATTATTCATCAATCACTTAATGTTCTCAATTTGTGTCAAAAGGAGGGAATATGAGAAATAAATTTTAGGTTGCAGATTCCTAGGACTCATTATAATTAACTCTGAGAAATAAGTCTTGGTTTTTGACGATAAACGGCATGTAGGGGAGAGTTTAACAGACCAATCGAGGACTATGGGGACGTCTCTGATGGTAAACACATATGCATTCTTTTGTCAGCTCAGGAAGAGCTATTGAGTGTATGCTAATCACCCCCAACCGGTCGAGGCAGATGGCCACCCACCCTGAGCCATGGTTCTGCTCGAGGTTTCTGCCTCTTAAAAGGAAGTTTTTCCTTGCCTCTGTCGCCTAGTGCTGCTCTTGGTGGGAATTGTTGGGCTTCTGTAATTGACATCACAGAGTACGGTCTAGACCTGCTCTTTTATGAAGCACTCTGAGATAACTGTTGTTGTGATTTGGGCTATATAAATAAAATTGAATTGAATAATACTCTAGATGTGATTTGCCATGTTTTCTTGTCTACCATTTGTTATTTGTGTGTTTGTACTGGAGTGCATTTAAGGAGAGGGAGACTGTCGAGAGAGAACTGTGCTTTTTCTCTGTGGCCACGTATAAAGAATTGATTCATCACACCTTTGACTCCATATTCTTTGGGAAGAAATTATTCAATCACATGCTTCATTTGTAAGTGAATTTTTAGCCCATTGAGAATAAGGCAGTGAAAATTTGATTTATTAAAAAATAATTTCATTGAAAAACTATATACTGCGACCTTTAAGGAAGGAGTGTCGGTGCGTTTGTGTGTGCACGTGTGGTTGAAGAGGAAGAGAAACGGAGCATTAGCAGCGCCGGTGTTGTTGGAGTTATGTGTGCACCTCGCAGGACATTCGTATCATTAATCACCATTGATGAACGACCCAAAGAATATTATATTGTTTTTGAAATAGTACTTGGAATAGACCTGCGAGGTACAGCAGCGTGCATGCATTTGTTAGCAGAGCAGAGGGAAAGGGTCAACAATATGCCTCAGTATTGCTGTAAATGTACAGTGTAAGTCTCAGTGACTGACTGAATAGAGACTGCAGCTCTGCAGCTTCCCAAGATTAACACATGATGAGACCTGACAATTCTGATTTGACTATGTAAATCTTTAGTCGGGGACACCCCTAGCTGTTTTTCTAACTGACTCTCTGTTCTCCTACCATTGCTATGCTGATGATACCCACCTATATCTGTCCTTCCCACCACACAACCCCACTGTCTTGACTGAACTAGTGATCACAGACAGACCTTCTGTTCAGCTCAACATATTAGTATCATTGCAGTGTATAACATCATAAATGTCAGGTTTTATGTGACTGAGTATGCCCCTCAACTGAGTGTAAAGGTCATCTTACACCTTGACTTCTGTAATGCCCTCATGACAGGGCTTCTCACATGCCCAGTAAACACTCTGCAAATGGTCCAAACCATGGTGATATGTTTGGTCTTCATTAGCCAAATCATTTCACTACTGATTCCCCATTGTTTCTCGCATTAAGTTGAAGCTCAACATTGGGCATGGATAGTCATTTATATCTTATTCAGAGCACTTCAATTAAATTTCAATTCAATTTTATTTATATAGCGCCAAATCACAACAAAAGTTATCTCAGAGCTTTTCATAAAAGAGCAGGTCTAGACCGTACTCTTTGATGCTATTTACAGAAACCCAACAATTCCCACCAAGAGCAGCACTAGGCGAAAGAGGCAAGGAAAAACTTCCTTTTAAGAGGCAGAAATGTCGAGCAGAACCATGGCTCAGGGTGGGCGGCCATCTGCCTCGACCGACTTGAATGAAAAATTAAAAGACAAGGAAGAGTTTATAAGGATTCCTGTTAAAGAAGTTGTCATTGACGGTGTTACCTGAGCAGATGACTGTCAGGCTATGCGCTGACAAAAAATGAGTCCGGTGCGATATGAATGCACACTCTCTGATTGCAGACTCAGACGGACCACAGGCAGATACAGTTATCAATGCTTTGCGGTTTCCTAAATCATCTCTTCTTTCTGTTGAAAGAGCAGAGCCACAGTCCAGCTGCCTACACACTAAAGCTGCAGACACCAGGTCCCAGTTAAAGGTGGAATCAGCCACTGGTCTCCACTCTCCCTTGTATTTCATCTGTAGTCTACCGACACAGCGGCTGGGTCCTCCAACCAACCGGACGTCATCAGGCTCTGAACAGATACAAGAGAGTAATTAGCTAAAGAAGTAAAGTAACTTGCATTACAACAGAGATTGCAATAAATCTAAGCAGCCGATCTTCTCCTACCTGAACATGCGAGTTCAACAGATTTGCCAGATGAGCAGGTGTCTCTACCTGAGCCTGAGCTTCCACAGTCCAGGAGAGCAGACTCATGGCCTCCACACTGGAACTCTTTTGACCACACTGGGGGCTCCACCTCTCCATACAGCGCCCCCTGGAGGACTGAAGGAGCCCCACAGCCAAGCTCCCTACAGACCACCTCTGCATCCTGCTGGTCAAAGTCGTCTTCACACACTGAGGACCACAAATGGTTAGACTTCACCTCCAGTCTGCCGGAACATGGACTAGTCCTATTAACCAGCCTGACAGGTCCTGAAGAAAGATGAAGACAGACAGAATTAGAATTTTAAATAAAAACAAAATATCTCTTTCTAACTTGTGTTACTGCATTGGGGAAGGCTGTAGGAGCATTTCTTGATGACCTATGTTTGGATCTCAAGAGCCAACCACGGGAGTAGTCAGACTCATCACTGCAAAATAAAATAATTTTAACTTTTTACCCATTCTTTCAGCTACAGGCCAGTCCTGCCAGGATAATTCAACCACATGTATTCTGTAGTCAGTCAGTGTAGGTAACTTTTATTAAAATAACTTCTTGGTTTATTTGATTAAATTGTCCCTTTATCCTGACAGTAGTACATTAGACAGATAAGATATCAGGCTACTTAAGAATCCACTGCTCCCTGGTCAAAACAACCAATCAGAGACTCAGTCTCTACGACAGTGTCTGTACTGTCCCCCAATAAGAGGAGCAGCTGATTTGACTGCCAATCTCACTGTCGAATGCATGCGCAACTCCGCACAAGACCAATGTAGGAGGCAAAATAGTATTTTGGGGGGGCAGTGGCTATAATAATGAAACAGAATAGCCACTACAACCGGTCAACGGCAGGCGAGTAGAGCAACAGCACGCCTCAATATAGCTGCAAATGTACAGTGTAAGTCTCAGTGACTGACTGAATAGAGACTGCAGCTCTGCAGCTTCCCAAGATTAACACATGAGACTTGACAATTCTGATTTGACTATGTAAATCTTTAGTCGGGGACACCCCTAGCTGTTTGTCTAACTGACTCTCTGTTCTCCTACCATTGCTATGCTGATGATACCCACCTAATATCTGTCCTTCCCACCACACAACCCCACTGTCTTGACTGAACTATTGGTGATAACAGATGGGCCTTCTGTTGCGTATAACATCTTAAATGTCAGGTTTTATGTGACAGAGTATGCTACTCAACTGCGTGTAAAGGTCATCTCACACCTTGACTACTGTAATGCCCTCCTGACAGGGCTTCTCACGTGCACAGTAAATGAAATCAAATGGTCCAAAACGTGCAGGTATCTTTTGTCTTCAAATAGCCAAAACATTTCACTACTGTATACTGACTCCATGTTGTTGCTCGTATTAAGTTCAAGTCACTAATTCTTGCCTATAGAGTGACCACTACTGGAACTCTCTTATTCAGGTTTATAAGCCTTCTCATTCTCTACACTAAGCTAGTGAACAAATAAGAAAGGAAGAAAAGACTAAGAAAGATTATTGTTATAGTTGAGGAATTTCTGGAGTTACCTGAGCACTTGATCTCCAGGTTGGAAAGTGAAGTGTCAAGCGATGTAAACACACATTCCCTAACTGCAGACATGGACCGAAGACAAGTTGATCTAATTTGCCATATTGTTTTGTAATAGTTATTCATTATCTTCCCTGTATAAACAGCAGAGCCACAGTCCAGTTGTTCACACACAACATCTGCTGTCTTTAGATTCCAGTCAGATGTTTGGTCGTCCACCTCTTCCCACCGTCCCTGGTGTTTGACCTCCAGTTCACCAGCACATTGACTGGATCCTCCCACCAACCGAACATTATTGGGCTCTTGGCAGACAAGAGTAATTATTAAAAATAGATGAAGTCACATTTATTAAATAGAAAATCAGTCCAAAACAAAGCACAGGTCCTCTCCTACCTGAGCAGGTGAGTTCAACAGCTTTGCCAGATGAGCAGGTGTCTCTAGCTGAGCCTGAGCTGTCAATCTGACAATCCAGGAGAGCAGACTCATGGCCTTCACACTGGAACTCTTTGGTCCACACTGGCACTCGCATTTGTCTATAAACAGTCCCCTGGAGGACTGAAGGAGCCCCACAGCCAAGCTCTCTACAGACCACCTCTGCATCCTGCTGGTTAAAGTCATCTTCACACACTGAGGACCACGACTGGTTAGACTTCACGTCCAGTCTGCCTGAACACAGACTAGTCCCATTAACCAGCCTGACAGACTCTGAAGAGGGTGAGAGACACAGAAAGACAGACTAGAGTTTATAGGGCATGGCAAAATAAAACATTACAATATAATGAAGTGGTCCTACAGTGTATGCCAGTCATAATGCCATAATGTCAGTCCTTGTTTGTCTGTGCATGTTTTTGAGCACTCTTCCTCTGTTAATGCAGTTTTTCAGCATTTTCCAGATAATTCAGACTTTGTCTCTTACCATTTCACATCTGTTGTGTCAACTTGAAAGACGTCATAGTTTACCTCAAACTGAGTGCTTTTTGGGATGCACAATTTGGGGGAATACGTCTGACACTTTTTGTAACTTGTTCCAATGTAACTTGTAATTCTAATGCTATAACTAACAATGACGCATGGATTGGCCAGGTGTACAGAGGTGAGAAAGAAGGCAAGCTCTGACATGTCTCTCAAGCTCTCTTTGTTAGTTCCTTATGCCACTACTTCTGTTTTTCTTATTCCTGTTCAGATTCAAGATTCAGCATATCCCGCCCAGCTTTCCACCCCAGCATCAAGTGACCATTTAGAACAGACATGAGTTCCCTTAGTGGCCAAACAACACTGTAAATTTCAAACATACCAGCCTTAATAAAGGTCTAAGCAGTTCATATAGACTTCACCATATAGGACAACCTGCAGAGGTACAACAAGGCCATTTTGACAGTCTGAACTGCTACAGCAGTCACAAACACAACAAAATTATGTAACGTGGCAAGGTGAAAAGACTGGATAATGTTTCTAAACCAGGACATCACAAAAAATATTAAAAATATTCACTGATAGCCTGTGATGAATTATTTCTTCTTCAAACAAAGTCATCAACAACTCAAGCAAGCTTGTTTCCACATGTAGATCACTTTTAATGGAGACTAGTGGAAGCAGGCCAATTCCGCCACAGTCCCCTACTGGTAGCTGCTGGGAGATCAGTATCGAATGTTTGAAGTCATGAACCTCCAGCAACAAGCCCACTTATTTACCATTTAGAATTTCATTATCGGAATGACTGTATACTTGAGTCCAATGGAAACCACTGATTAACTCACCAGTTCATTCTTACTGTAGGTTTTATCACTTACTGTATTCTTGGCCATAAAGTGTACTGCTACAGCATTTCAGCAATGCAAGAAACTCAGACCAAAGCAAAATGAATGCACCGTGGGTTTAAACTTTTTAGAACGGTGAACTAGGCTCGTATTCTATGGGACTCTCAGGCCAAACGAAGCGGATCACTAGGCGGACATTTGAATATCCGAAGCGCAATTCCTAAAAGTGAACAACTACAACATTTTCTTTACGAATCAACTTTTTATGCCTATCAGAGACATGGTTGCATGAAAACTCTGGTCGGGGTGGAGGTGTGTTATTTTATGTCAAGGATTATATAAGTTGTAAGCAAATTCAATGGTCCTGTGTTAATGACTTAGAATGTATCGGTCTTGAATGAACTCTCTCAGCCCAAATGTCATTCACTGTGATTGTAATACATAGACCACCATCTGCAAAAAACGTGTTCTATGATAAGTTGAATATCCGTCTTAAAGAGTTTGATACTAACAATGAGATAATTTTATTAGGAGATTTTAATATAAACTGGAATGATAAAGCAAAAAGGAAAGAGATAAAACATGTAATGAGTAATTTTTCCGACTAGGATTACCAGTTCCTCAGAAACACTCATTGATCTGGTCTTTACTAACAGACCAGAAAGAATAAAGAAATCATATAATCTGGTTACAGGTTTATCTGACCACAATATGATTTTGATTCTAAGAAAACTCACAAAACGGAGATTTAATTTATCAGCAAACATTATAAAGTTCCTAATGGACAATTAACTAATCTTGGAATTCCAATTAAAAAAATAAATTGGAATGAGCAACATGTAAATACAAATTTAGATCATAACTGTAATAGATTGATGTGTGAATTTCAAACAACTATACAAAGTTTTATGAGGAAAGTGAAATACAAACCAGGCAAAAGAAATTATTTACCGTGGTTGAATGAAAACATAAGGACACTCATGAAACAAAGGGACCAGGCTCTTAAGATGGCTCTCAGGAACAAAGTGGAACATGAGAAGCGTCTATTTATCTCACTGAGAAATAAAGTCATAAAAGAGCCTAGAAAGGCAAAAGCGACATTCTTTATTAATGCTAGAAGTGAAGCAAAGGGGAATAGTAAAGAAATCTGTCAGAATCTAAAGAAATTAACTGGGAAATCCAATACCGTTAATAAAAAAATCTAATTAAATGTAGAAGGAAACGTCATCCATGATTCAAGTAAAGTGGCAACAGCATTTAATGCTTACTTCATTGATTCTATAAAAACTCAGAATTCCTGTGAATTAAAATATTCTGTCACTTCTCTAAATACTAATGCTCCCATTTTAACTTTTAGAGAAGTGACGAATACCAAAGAGTGCACGATTATTTCCTCTTTAAATTGTTCAAGGGCAAAGGATACATATGGAATGGACACAATATTTATTCAAAATATTATAAATATACACCAGTGTATAAATCAGGTGATCTTATGACTATTAGTAATTATAGACCCATCTGTATCCTTCCGTCAATATCAAAAATTGCCGAAAAATGGATCTCCGAACAGATAATATCGCATTTAAATGCTACGTCTTTTTCATTACATCCTCTGCAATTTGGCTTTCGAAAATATCATTCCACTGAAACAGCTAATTGTTTTCTTTTGAAAAAAGGCTAAAATGGACCAAGGAGGTGTAGTTGGGGCGGTCCTTGATTTGAAGAAAGCCTTTGATACAGTAAATCATGAGGTTTTAATTACCAAGTTATTGAAGTTAAATTTTTCATCCAGTGTCATCAAATGGATACAATCGTACCTTTTAGATAGATAACAATGTGTTCGCATAGACCATAAAATTTCCCAAATGACTGATAATGACTTAGGTCTACCTCAAGGTTCAACCTTGGGTCCTCTGTTGTTCTGTCTGTATATTAATGACCTGCCTGAAGTTTGTCCTTCTGCAGTAACTGTTCAGATGTACGCTGATGATACGGTTATATATGTACATGCAAAAAACAAGAAGCAAGCTGCTAAGCAACTATCAGCTTCTATGGTCAATATCTCTAATTGGTTAACAAACTCTTGTTTCCATCTTAATACCAGCAAAACTGTATGCACGTTCTTTTCAAAATCTGCAAATAAAGATCCAGACCCAGAGGTTACTGTAGCAGCACTCACAACACTGTCAGTTGTGAGTGAGTTTAAGTATTTAGGTATAATATTACTGACAACTGACATTTAAATCTCAAGTTTAAAACGTTTTGGTCAATTTTAGACACATTAGAAGTAATTTAAATACAGAGGCCTCAAAGTTGTACATCAATGTCATGATATTGTCACATATGAACTACTGTATGACCAGCTGGACGCAGACAGGAAGGACTGCATTACAGTCAATAGAAATGGTTTATAAGCGGGCTTTGAAAACAATGGATAAGTCAAATTCATTTCATCGTTGTAACATTTTAAAGAAGCATGTTTTTTTTAAACTGGGAAAATAGGGTCAAATTTGCTGATATCTAGCTTGTGTATAAAATGTTCCATGGTTTAGCCCCCCCCTCCACACACTCTCCACTCTCCTACCAGAGCTACTTCCAGAGGTTCCTTACAACAGTCAGTCTTTTCCTACCGAGCAGCACATACCTGGAATACGATACCTACAGAACTAAGAAACATTTCTTCTCTTAGTACCTTTTCAAAAGCTATAAAACAGTGGTTACTGGACAATCAAGTATGTTGTCATAATGTGCAGTAATGCTTTTGTAATTGTTTTTATATATTCCTGTACTCTCATGTCGAGATATATGTATCTATTTTTGTTAATGTTTTATCCATGCTGCTGTGTTGTCTGCTTATGATTTTAAGTGCATGTTTTGTTTTTTTTAATGTTGTCTGTATGCCATGTTTTAACGTTCTTATAACATCAACCTGCCAGGGACTCCAGATGAAAATTAGCCTGCATGGCTAAATCTGGCTCATTTACATTTGGGCCTTGTCTTTATGTTCATTAATGTGCACTGTCCCTTTTAACTTAAATGTGAAAAAGGTAGGTAAATCTTTCCTGGGGATTATTATGTAATAATAATAATATTTTCTTTCTTATACAGACAATTGGTCTGGGGTGTGTTTCCGAAAAGCATCGCTGCTAGCTACGGTAGGAACTTTCTTGGTTGGAACTATGCGGTTGCAACGCAACTGTTTGCCAAAACCCTTGTTCAGGCTATGGAGGTAACTAAGTTGGTAAATTTCATGTTACAAACCATCGTTAAGCGACGCAGGCATTCCCCGAAACCATAGTTCCAACGAACTGTATGTAAGTTGCATAATTTGAGCTTCAGCTCCTGAACTGTGGTTAGAAGCTTCGGTCCTGGTGACTACGGCACAGATAGAAGAAAATGCAGTCTTAGGAGGTGGATTTAATGTGTTTTAAGCAGGGAATGTTAGATAATCTTGCTGTACAAACATATTTAAGGTGAAGTTTTTTTAATGTAGTTGTAAAAGTACATTTTCAATGTATTTGTCGGGGGAGTTTGCATGTTCTCCCCGTGTCTGCGTGGGTTCTCTCCTGGTGCTCCGGCTTCCTCCCACCATCCAAAGACATGTGGAGTAGGTTGATTGGTGACTCTAAATTGTCCTTAGGGGTGTGAGTGTGAGCGTGAGTGGTTGTTCGTCTATGTGTGGCCCTGCGATGGACTGGTGACCTGTCCAGGGTGTATCCCGCCTTGCGCCTTGTTTTTTGGCTATAGATTGC